TTTCGAAGCCTTTAAGAAATGGGACACTCGTGGTGGGTGTTCAGAGCCTTTCTCAGGTGCAACAAACACCTTAGACATTGCTTTAGTTTTAAGTAACTGCTCTTCTTCCTGTGCCTATGGATGTCCTGCCCCAAAACAGACATTGAAATCCAACCTGAATGTCAGGATGAGCAGAACACAGTTTCAGGGACAGTTTCATGTACGTGTTGTCATGTACCTGCTGGGCAGTGAGGTCTGGGAGGGGAGCAGGGGATAAAGCACCTCATGGTTTCCAGTGAAGGCAACAGCAAGTTTCAGAGGCCAAAAGCTGAAACTAGACAAATCCTGTGTAAAGAGAAAATGCATCTTTGGGAGTTAAGGTCATGAGAACATCTAGAACATGCTGAACCATGCAGTGCTTGGCTCCTCTTGCTTGTGTTACTGTGTTAGATAGAGCTGATGCTTCAGCCTTAGCTCAAGCAGATGTTGTAGCTGGAGAGCAGGAATCCCTGCAGGAAATACTGCATTATCAGAATAATTGCATTCTGGCTTTAAAATTCCAGGATTTGGAGGGTTGTTCTTTATCCCGGTCCTTGCGAGGAGCCCGTGTCTCCACACATGCCCTTTTCTCAGGACATGCCACATCTTGAGCCTTCCCAGAGCCTGTATTTGTGTCCCAGCCATGCACGTGGTGGCCAGTGATGGTGGGCTCTGCTCTGGGGAGAAGCCAGAGGTTTGAAGCTTTCACATCTTGCTCTTGGACAGGCGCTGAGCTCTGGTTCCTGCCCAGCTCCAGCCTTCAGGATGTCACGGTTTGAACTGCTGCATCCAGGGACAGATTCAGCCAGATCTCAACAAGCTTTCTGTGCTCTGGCAAATTTGCTTATCTTAAATATGTCTTTCTAATGCACCTCTTTGAGTCATGCTTCTGACCACACAATGCTGAAGATGGGACAGGGGACAACTGGAGCACACTGGATGTGTGGCCTCCAGAGCGTTCTTCATAGGTGCTTTAAATGGATAGGAATGGTGTGTTCAGGCTTCTCAGAAACCACCCCTTTTGTTTCAGGACATTGTAGTGGTCATCACTGGTACCTAGAGAGAAGGGAGGTGAGCTGTGGCTGCACCTGGGAGGACAGTCCCCTTGGCATGTAAAATGGAGATTTGGGGGTTTGTGGTTGAATAGTTGGTGTATCAGAGAGAAAGGTAGGAAACGTTCTCCATCTTCAACTCTTCCATATTTTCCTACATGTTTTGGCTTTGTATTCTTCTCCCAAGGATATTATTTTGTCTTCTTCAAACTGTGGTAAGCCTGAGATAAACTAGAAGCTGATGAGTTTCTAGTACTGGCTGACACTCAAAGTGTGGATGACAACTTCACAGTCTTGTATATATCACAGTGAGTCCCAGTGCCATGTGTCAGCTGGTGAGGGATGTGTTGGTGTTAGGAAATGGACCCTGAACTCTTGAGTTCTCTGCCAGGTCCCTTTGTTTCTGCAGGAAGCTCAGAACTCTGGTTTAAACTAATCCCTCAGTGACTGAGAGCCCAATCTGTGGTGCCCATCTTCCTTTGGCTCTGAGTTCAGCACTGTTTGATCCTGCACCTTTAGGATGATGTTTCTCACTGCAGCCAAACTGATCTGATGCCAACCAGCCCAACAAGGAGCCAGCCCATTCCTCCAGGTCCACCCTTATGCTGGGTGCTGGAAGCAGAAACCTTTGAGTTTTCTGTTCCAATACTGGGCTGAAATGATCAACCACGAGTTCAGATCACAGAACAATTCAGGTCAGAAGGGATCTCCGGAGGTTGCACAGCCCAACTTGTTGCCTAAAGCAAGGCCAGCTTTGGAGTTGTATTAGGTTGCTCAGAGCTCATGTGAGCACCAAAGCTGTGGGGCACAGATGCTGCTTTTCTCAGTGTCAGCAAACCATTGGGGTTTGTAAGGTTTTTGGCTCCTCGCTGTGGCTCACCACAGGGTGAAGACAGTGGTCCAAGAAGGAAGAAGGTGAGGATGTCTCTGGCAGATGCTCACTGTTGGGCTGGCACCATCCCCAGCTGAGTAAGATGCAGTAAACTGGAGCTTTTGGCAGTTACCAGATATGTGGGTGATGGTTTGCATGGGGAGATGAGCCTGTGTCCTGGGCAGGGCTGTTACCAGTGCTGGAGCTCAGAGGGTGGTGAGGTGGGTGTGAGCAGGGCTGAGTGCTCTGCACTGCTCCCTGTGTAACCCTGAGCTTCTTGACCGCATCCCAGTAACATCAGGGCTCAAATCCTGAAGGAAAATTAACAGGCACTTGGCAAAAACTTCAGGCTCCTTTAGGAAGCATCCAGTCACTGGAAGTGGTTATGGTACTGTAATAGTAATATATTATAGCCATGCAGAGGGAGCTGGACAGGCTGGAGAGCTGGGCCTCTGCAAACCTCATGGAGTTCAACAAGGCCAAGATCACAGACACAGGCTGGGGGAGACGGGGTGGAGGAGCCCGAGGAGCAGGACTT